ATAGCTTATTGAATAATTGTGCATTCCATTGGATATTATGAGTATGATGACATTGGATCGGATGAAAAATGATCATTAACAAAATAAGCAATGGAATGCATAATTATTCAATACGATATAGTAAAATGATATTTAAATCGATTACAAGTGAGTTTTGTCTGCATTTGATTGAGGATTTAATGTTGTTATATATTAAACTTTTGAAAATTCATAATATCTGATGTAATTGAAACAATATGGGTGAAAAAATTGTTTTAATTTTATTTCAATGTCATTTTGAATGTCATTGTTTTCAATATAGTAAGCGATTATATTGCTCAATGAGTTTATACCAATGCCATGAAGTTATTGTAGTCGAAATTTTTTCGAAAATTGGATTCGAAAAAAATCAACTGATTTTGGTTGAAATTTTTTTGTTTGGCATATTTGAACGTTAGAAACGGTTTGGTTTAGTTTAAGCATCCTAGATCGCCCGGATAAATCATGATGAATGATATCATTCATGTTAAAAAATTTTGGTTACGTTTCACTGAAACTAATTAGTTATAACCTATCTCAAAAATTGACAACAAAAAAAACTGATCTGCCTCATAAAAAAAACAAATAGAAAACATGATTTGCATTAGAAGACTTTAAAATGAATTTTCTGTTGCAAATTTCTTTGGATAGAAACCTGGAATAGTGAAAATGAATCAACACAATTGATTTGTTATTTAGAAGAAGACTTTAATGCAAATGATAAAATGTAACATGTCAGATGGAAAGTACATTCAATTTTTCTTTACTTTGCGTGCATTTGCTTTGTTCTTGTTGTTCCGTTTTTTCATGTTTGTCTCGGTTGTCACTTCGTCGCATGCATTTTCCAGCTCGTTGAAATTGAAGCTGCCAGTTAATTTGGTCCTTTTGAGCCCGCTTCCTGGTGGTTGTTCTTCATTGCCTCTTTTTCGACCATCACTTGCTTTGGTAGTTCCTGTTGTTTCATAGGCTGGTTCCAGTTTTATCCTCTTTTGGCTTGGGTATTCGTTTTCATCAGTTTCCAAATTCGATTTGCGTTTATTTAACCATATTTTACTGATGCGAACGCCTCCTCGAATGGTAATTCCTCGAACCTTTAGATGTTCAACATATTCGGTCACAATGGTTTCCGCTTCTACCATTAGTTCTTCCCAGTCTTCGTCAGCAACCAAATATTTTTCGTAGGAATTCATTTTTATTCGTGACAAACACAACTTAGCGTGATGATAGTTTGAATGACAATACAATTTACAGTAAGACAAATGCGATCTAGATCGTAAAAATGAAGTTTTGTGTATATAAAGCGACAAAAATATAAAATTAACAATGAAGTGAAAATGCTTTTTCGGTAATCTCATATTCTTTGAAAATTTAATCAAATTGTCATAACAGTAAAGAAAACTGATGCAAAGTGAAGCGAAAAGAGGCCGTTCCGTCGATGTGCTTCTGTAGTTATTCCTTCATATAATGGAAAAACCTATGATATAATTGTGTCCGAAGAAGGTGTTAAAGTGATAAAAATACACAACAGACGCACTAAAAAAAAATAAAATCATTGTCAATGTGTTTTCAAAGGCAAATAATCCAGTCGTTAAAATGAAATCAACGCGTAAAAAAAGGATAACAAAGAAGGGAAAAACGGTAGGTATTAAAGAATGTGAAGAAAAATACCATTGAAAAATAAATCCTGGTATAATCACCTTACAAGGTAAAAATGCGCTCAAATGAAAATTGCAATAATGTTCGTATGGGGGTCTGTGTAGCTCAATGGATAGAGTATCTGACCGGCAATCAGAAGGTCCGTGGTTCGACTCCCGGCATAGGAAAGATGCAAATTTTTCCTCTTCTTCTTCGCTTCGAATGAGTGTTAAAAGAGAGAAAAAATTGGCATTTACTCCATACGATACGTTTCGGAATTTTCACTGAGTATTTGCTCGTAGTATTCGCTTGGCGAATTAAGCAAATTAAAGCAATTTGAATCGTTGCGATTCTAAACATTGTAGAGTCAAAAAGTAGCATCATCAAAAAACCCTTAAGTAATTAAAACATGACTTTACGGCACCAGTTCACGTGCTAAAAATGAACAAAAATAAATCCTGGTAAGGGAAAAACGACTGAAGAATGTCATGATATAATTACTGCAATGAGAAAACTGCAAGTGTCGCAAAAGCGAAAAATCAACGACAGCAACGATGGGCCGAGCAAAAAAAAATTCAAAACAGCTTTGTGAAGATGGCAAAAACGGGTGCCGTGATGCGTGAGTCGTCCAAAACATATCGTGAAGATGACAAAATCGGGTGTCCCTGGAGAAGCCTTAAACATTTGAAAAAATAAATACAAACGTTAAATTTTATTTCATGTCAACACTTTATTTTGTTTTGGTTTGGAGAAATAAAAAATTAAGAAAAGAAAATTTAAATTTAAGGAAAGAAAAAATCATAATGAATAATAAATGAAAAGAATGTAAACTAGAAATAAGTAAAATGAAGAGAAGAAAGCAGAGCTAATAATGTATGCAAAAAGTCAAGGGAGGGCGACACATAAAAAAGAAGCAAAGCAAATTGAGCTGTCAAACGACAAACAGAAAAAAGGTCTTCTCTTCTTGTACACCGCGACAGCGGATGCAAATTTATACACCGCTCCTTTGAATTAAACTGCGCATATAGTAAAACCGCGCACATCGTACATAAAAAGTACATGAAATAATAGTCACATCGTACATAAAATAAAAACCGCAAAGGAATTGGAAGAGCGATTACGAGAAGAGATAGACCAAAATCGATCGTACGACCAGTGCCGGTATTCTACAACACATTCCGAACACTTTGTTCGGAACGTTCAATTGCATTTTGGAAGGTGGAATGCAAACGTTATATATGGATTTGTATCTATTTTATTGATTGAACGTTTGATATCCACCTTCCAAAATGCAATTGAACGTTCCGAACAAAGTGTTCGGAATGTGTTGTAGAATACCGGCACAGCCGACAATTTACGTGCGATTGCAAAGAAAAGTCAATGAAAAGCGTACATCGGACGCCGGAGCAAAGAGCGAGGAGAATCGATTGGATTGCTTGGATTGGAGAGCCACGACAGTCACCAACCGGAGTATTCGCGTCGATCCATTAATTGCAAAGGGGCCCCGAGTAGCGTAAGCGATAGTTTTAAATAAAAATTGTTGAAAACGAAATGAATTGATTTATAATTGAATGAGAAGTAAATTGAAGAACAAAGTCAGCGATTGAACGTAAGTATGAGCTATGTTTGAGGTGAGAAATCGAAGGCAAAACAATTTTACGTAATCAATGTCAATAAAAGTGTCAATGATATTTGATTTGCATTTGAAATTAAAACATTTTCTTTAATTTTGATGTACTTGAGATGAAATGCTGAGCAGGTAGGCTTCATAGGCTACGGCAATGTATTGTTCTTCCTTCTTTTTGGCGATTCTCTTTGATCTTCTTGGCTGCTTTGCTTCCATTTCCTCCCTTATTTCCTGCTCCAACGTAATATTTCGATGGATTTCTCTTTCTTGTTGTTCTGATATATCCTGGTTCTCCATTACCCAGTCTTTGAAACTTGTGGATGCCATTGTTATTTTTTTTGTTTGATTTCAATGCGTAAAATGTATTACGATATATTGACAAATGAAGGTGTAAATTGTGAGTATGTAAAATTCATATGTCGAGTTATGCTGTCATCATGTTAGCCTATTTCGAATATTATTTCTGTATGCATACCAATGTTTATTAATTTGAATCTTAGTAAACATTACAATTTTTCAATCAAGAAAATTTGACTTTGTTGTTTACTTTTGTGTCTTCACATTTTTCATATTTTTTGCTTATTTTTCGATAAAAATTAAATATGGGTAAAATAAAATTATCTTTATCAAGATGCACATCTGGTGCAAAACGAAAGAAATATAATAGAGTGCATGAATTCCCCCTGGACCGTGAAGTGCGTTTAGCATCCGTGCGTGATAGTATGAATCGATTAAGAGCAAGTGAAACACCCGAGCACCACAAAGCCCGCCTTGAATCAATGAGAAACGATGCAAAACGATCGAGGTTAAGTGAAACGGATACGCATCGTGAGTCTCGACTCTTGGCTCTTCGTAATAGATTTTACATTCGGAGGCAATGCGTAGACTTGAATCTCGCTGGATTTCATTATAATAGCGAAATTGATTATAGGTAAATAATAGAAGCTTTTTCATAACATAAATTAGTGGTTCACACTATATATTTGTTATTCAGTTGTTACGTTAATCATCATGTCAACATATTTACATTGTACAGAACAATGTGAGATGTATGAATATATGAATGAATCAACTCAATTAAATTTGGTTTTACTGTATAATCAAAAATTTGGCTGAAAATCAAAAATCTTTGCTCAAGCCACCAAATCGCTATCTTTTATCAGTACCGTGAAAAACCGAGACAAACCGCAACTGATAAGAGATAATGGTTTTGTATTTTCGGCAATATTATAGTACTCGTGGCCCTCTATAACATTGCTACAGACTCTTATCTCTTATCAGTTGGGCGCAAATCCAAAACATGGGCCCATAGATAGTTTTTTTTCTTATCATTTTTAGCGATACTGGTAAAAGATAAGTGATAACACTCTGAAGCAAAGTTATGGGAAATTTTGATATTATAACTTGTAGTTGAGTTGTTTAAGCCCATAATGCATATTCCATTATTTCAATTCATATTTTCAATTCAACTATCGTATTATTTCTCAATGTTTTCAGTATGAATCCCAATGTTGTGATTGGAAAAATGGACAATATTTGTTTGTATTGCCGAGCATTTAAGTTTAAAAATGAACCAGAAGGAATGTGTTGCAGAAGTGGAAAAATTGTTTTGCCATCTTTAATTGATCCACCTGAACCACTTCAATCATTAGTTTCAGGAACAAATCCATTATCAAAACATTTCCTAGAAAATATACGGAAATATAATTCATCTTTCCAAATGACTTCTTTTGGAGCAACACAAATTGTTAATGAGAATGGTTACAATCCTACATTCAAAGTGCATGGCCAAGTGTATCATCTACTTGGTTCTCTTCTCCCAGTACCTGATGAAGATTCAAAGTTCCTGCAAATCTATTTTATAGGTGATAATGAAAAAGAGATCAATCAAAGATGCACATTTCATCAAGCAATAGAGCGTGCAATCATATCAGATTTGCAAGAGCTTTTACATCAACACAACCGCTTGATTAAAATATTCAAATATGCTTTGCATAAAATGCCATCAAAGGATTATCAAGTTGTCATTCATGCAGACAAAACACCAGCTGGAGAACATGAAAGACGGTTCAATGCACCAATTGCTGAAGAAGTAGCTATTGTTATCGTTGGATCAGAATTTGAAAGGCGTGACATTGTTGTGCAGAAACAGGATTCGAGTTTACAAAGAGTTCCTGAAACCCATAGAATGTATGATGCTTTGCAGTATCCGTTGATACATTGGGATGGACGGGATGAATACCATATTCAAATTATGCAAATTGATCCAGAGAATGATGAACCAACAACTAAAAAAGTTTCTTCAAATGCATTCTATGCATATAGAATCATGATCAGAGCTAATGAATCGAATCATATTTTGAAGTGTGGAAAACTTTTTCAACAATACTTAGTTGACATGTACACAAAATTTGAGAGTGAAAGGCTATTGTTCATCAGACTAAATCAAAAAAAATTGCGAGCTGAGAATTATATCCACCTACGTGATGCAATTACCAACGATGGAAATGTTGCTGATATTGGTCAAATGGTCATACTCCCCTCCACACATACTGGTAGCCCAAGACACATGCATGAGTATGCACAGGATGCGATGACATATGTGAGGAAATTTGGAAAACCAGATCTATTTATAACTTTTACGTGCAACCCAAAGTGGTCGGAGATTCAAGAGTTGCTTTTACCAGGTCAAACGACAGCTGATCGACCTGATATCGTAGCTCGAGTCTTCCAGCAAAAGCTACAATGTTTTATGAAATTGATCGTTAAAAGTCTTCTGTTTGGTGATGTTCGCTGTTGGTTATATTCGATTGAGTGGCAAAAAAGGGGTCTTCCCCATGCCCATATATTGATATGGTTTGAATCAACAATAAAACCCACTCAAATAGATAATATTATATCCGCAGAAATACCCGATCCAAATTTGGATCCAATATTGCACGAAATTATCAAGAAGCACATGATACACGGTCCATGCGGAAAATGTAATCCAAAATCGCCGTGTATGCGAGATAATAAATGCACAAAAAATTACTCACGACCATTTGTACAAGAAACTCAAACAGGTGGTGATGGATATCCACTTTATAGAAGGAGAAAACCGGATGATGGTGGACATACATTTACCATGAAAGCAAAAGGAGTTGACATGACCATTGATAACAGATGGGTTGTTCCTCACTGTCCTTTGCTATCTAAAATTTTTGATGCACATATCAACGTGGAATATTGCCAATCAATCTAGGCAATCAAGTATATCTTGAAATACATTCATAAAGGTAGTGACATGGCAGTTATCGGACTTATGAACAATATTTCACATGATGAAGTTACTCAATATCAAACAGGTCGTTACATCAGCAGCCATGAAGCTGTTTGGCGAATATTGGGCTTTAACATTCATGAAAGATTTCCAGCTGTAGTACAGTTAACGGTTCATTTGGAAAATGGGCAAAGGATGTACTTTACATCAGAAAATGCACGGGAAAAAGCGATCAATGCAAAAAACACAACACTGACTGCCTTTTTTCATCTTTGCCAAAATGATCCCCTTGCAAAAACTTTATATTATTATGAAGTCCCAAAATTCTACACCTGGAATAAAACAAAGTGTGAATTTCAAAGGAGGAAGAAAGGCCGAAAAATATCAGAGTATGCTGGAATCTCGGAATGTACAACATTAGGACGAGTATATACCATACATCCGAACAATGCCGAATGCTATTATTTGAGGATGTTACTTCATGTAATCAAGGGACCAACTTCATTTGAATCTTTGAAGGTTGTAAATGCCGAAGCATGTCGAACATACCAAGAAGCATGTTTGAAATTAGGTATTGCATAGTATTTCATTTATTTCATTAACGTTACTTCTCTTGTTGTTTTTTATTTACATTTTTAATTTAATTTCAAATTTTAAATTTTTCCATTACATTATTTTATTTAATTAGGTTTACTTGAGGATGATAAACATTGGGAAAATACATTAAATGAAGCTGAACTTACACGCCATCCAAGACAAATTCGAGAGCTTTTTGCTATTATTTTATCGATATGTGCCAGAGGTCTCATTTGCTCTCAAAATATATTTCGTAATATCGCGGAGCTACTGCGAGCAGCACGTATCTTTTGCTGTTTGCAAGTAGCGGCTACGCTGATGCGAC